TTACAGATCTTCTTTATGCACCAAGAGCTTGTAACACTCCAAAGAGAAAGGAAACATTTAAATTGCATCATATGACCCCTTTAAAGTATTCTGCAACCAGGTTTCTAATGAACATACATAAAGTTTTGCATTATATACGCATAAGTTTATGGTTACATATGATAGTAATTATTAACTGAAATCATACCAGACACCACCTTACCTTTCACCGCATTGATGTACTTCACCTCTAATTTAGTTTTGTCAGACTTTGTGATAACATGATGCATGGCATCCTTAAGAGGGCTGATTCGTGGTGGCATTTTAATCTAAAAAAAAAATAATAATAATAAAAAAACCGGTATACAAATCACAGTGAATACGGAGAGACATGCAGAATTAAAATAATTAAATTTTTAATAAGCAGATATGAACTTTAATTTCATGTAACACTTATATTGTATTTTTGTAATGCAACAATACATTACAATGTTATCAATGTGACACAAATCAGAAGAGAAGGTGAGCTAAATCTAGCACAATGCTGGCCTTTAGGGCATCGACTCACTGCTTTTATTTAGGCTCTAATCTCACAAAATGAGATCTGTTGCTATATAACCCCAGGCTGTGAGAACTACTGATTTGGCCCTGGACTTCTCTTTTTGACATCTCACCATACAAACCCTTCTTTAGTTTAACTACTGCCATTACTACATTGAAGTTTAACGTTAATCATTTAAAGCTACTTTCCTTTTTTTATTTTACTTCATTTCTCTGTGAAGCACTTTGACAGGAGCCTGGTTAATCAATGTGACAAAGAAGAGGTTTTATTATAGTAAACCATGTTTTCTGGCGTATCGACTAACACTTATACAAGCACACAAATACAATCTAAACTATGTTTTTAGTAGCGAAACCATGGTCAATGTTCCTAATGTGTGCAATAACACCCCTTTCCCGCGGAACGCGATTTAACCCGCGGCCAAACCAGACCTGCAGGGTTCCTTTAATATAAACAATAACAACCCCCTCAGAACTAACCCAAACCAGACAGAAACACACTTGAGATGAACCCAAGCCTGCATTAGCATCCGTTCACTTAGGCTAAAGATTTGAGAAAGCTTTTCAGTCAGAAACTATTCTTAAACATTAAATTGT